GGCTCGAACTCACGGACCGCGAGATCGTGACCTGGCTGAAGTCGGACGCCCAACCGACTGCGCCACCCAGGTGCCCCCGTAACTACTATTTAGGTATGCACTTCCTTCAAGTTTTATAGGTGTCTATAAGAGGATATGATAAAATTGAGGTTATGATATAGACATGAATATTTTTACCATTTTGTGGCTATCAATATTTGATAACATGAGTATATATTAATTTATTTAACTGTTCTTCAACTGATGTTCTCTTAAATCATTTTCATAATTATTCTCATAAATAGCACTGAAATGAACGTCCTTATTTATGAAACTGTGTACATGTGCCTGATTATTTCTTTGCCATACATACCTAGAAGCAATTCTCTCTATACGTTATGCAACACTTTGGATAAACCTAAAATTATTTCAAAATAAAAAGGTAAAGTTATGTCAAATTACATGTATATATATATATATATATATACACACACATATAATTACTTGGGTATTTTCTTACACTTTTCTGATTATTTCTTTTTTTTTTTTAATTTTTTTTCAACTTTTTTTTAATTTATTTTTGGGACAGAGAGAGACAGAGCATGAACGGGGAAGGGGCAGAGAGAGAGGGAGACACAGAATCGGAAACAGGCTCCAGGCTCTGAGCCATCAGCCCAGAGCCTGACGCGGGGCTCGAACTCACAGACCGCGAGATCGTGACCTGGCTGAAGTCGGACGCTTAACCGACTGGGCCACCCAGGCGCCCCTGATTATTTCTTTCAATAAATGTAGTTAGTGTCCTACAAGAACACTCCTAAAATAAGTAAATGAGTAATGTTGCATTTGGCTCATAGGAAATATTCAGAAATATTTCAGGAATAATTAATGAATGGATATAGAAAGAAAAGATTTTGTTCACAATGACTGGTCAGAAATTCATACCATCTTATATTTTTTTTTCCTCTGTCACCTTCCACATCTACCTGTATTGATGCATGACTCTTTTTTTTTTTTCACATAATTTACAGATAAAGTCAATAATCTGAGAAGTGTGTTCTTTCTGCTTGTAACCACAGATCTCTGAATAGTTCCACTAATGGAAAATTAGTGACAAAAAATTACTGCTTTGGAAATAATAATACATCAAAGCTATATGACTCCTCTGTTGGGACAAAATCCTATGTCATATGTTGGATTTTCTCTGTTCTGCCTAGAGTTCCTATCTGAGAATTTCTTATGTTCATTTCATATTAAAGAATATTTAAAATAGAACCTCTGGCCTATTCTATAAGAAAAAAGTGTGCATTATCACCATTTTTATGATACTTCCCAAACTTCTGTGGGACTCCAACGTGTGAGTAGCTTGCAAAACACTTAGAATGCTTTCTGACAGTGTCAGATGAAGAAAAGAAACACTAAGCAGTGTCTCTGTAAGCCAAAGGCCAAGCCCCATGGTTTCAAAATCTGTCTCTCTGGCTCTTGAAGCCTTTGAACTCTGAGAAATATTTCATTTTTGCTCCTTGTTCCTCTCTGAATCTAAGCTATTGAACCCGCAGTCATTGTACAACTACTTTCCTTCTTTCCTTTGCCTGTTGTTATTAAAAGACCAGTTACTTTTCATTGGAAGGAGTTTCAATGAAATGTGACTGTTTACCATGGAAAAGAATAAGCCATATACACATTCCTCTTCCTCTTTGTGCCTTTTTAATAAAGATGAGAGTCAGAATTTCAGATGCTCTACAAGCCAGGTGTAGGTCGTTGACTTATTTAACTCTTCCTGTGAAGAAAATGTTCTTGTAGGATCAAGGCAACTTCCTTCATTTCTGATGACTATCAGGCAGCAGCAGAAATCCAAATAATAATCTAACAATTAAATGAATTATGGGGAGCCTGGGTGGCTCAGTTGGTTAAGTGTACGACTTCAGCTCAGGTCATGATCTCATAGTTTGTGGGTTTGAGCCCCGTATCGGGCTCTGTGGGGACAGCTCAGAGACTGGAGACTGCTTTGGATTCTGTGTCTCTCTCTCTCTCTCTGCCCCTCCCCTACTCGTACTCTATCTCTCTCTCAAAACTGAATAAATATAAAAAAAATGTTAACAGTTAAATTAATTAGAATGTAGATATGCCCAGAAACAGAGAAAGGGCCTTCACAGAGATACACAGAGATGCATTTGAATAGACTTTCTCCCTAGATTATTATGTTGTGTGTGTGTGTTTTTTATTGTTTGTTAAACATAAACATGTTTTTCTTTTATCCTTCAAGAATCCAAGGAGCAAAATGTTACCCTCCTTTCAGTGAGGTAATAGTCCCAGAGTGACTCTGTATAAGAAACCTGACTGAAAAACTACTTTTTTTCCTGACATATCACCTCTTTCTTACATTTAAGGGCCTGAGTTCTAGTACAAGTTGAGCTGTAATTCACTAATATGAATATGAACCTTGATTTTCAATGTTGAAGCTACCATTATCAAACTTCAAGGTTTATTTATATTTTAATGTAGCTTAATTCGACGTGATAATACCTTTAGTAGATTTTTTTTTCCTTTCTAGAGTTCATCCACTCTTCTTCTGATCACCATATCCAGTTTTCCTCTGGAGAACTTCTCCTTCCCCTTACTTTACACTTACCATGTTCGGTTGAGGAAGTTCACTCTACACTTTGCTTCAGAGGCAGTCATTTGACTGAGCAGCATATCTTCCTATTTGCTCTGATTGTACAGTGAGAGGTACAAGATGCAATCAGAGTAAACAGGAAATAATGAGGCATTGCCTAGGAATTCTGGGCAATGTCCCATGACATTGTCTTTTCCATGGGACTTGAGACTAAGAACTTATAAAATCAATAGCAATCTACAGAGTTTCCAGGGTCTATTCATGAAACCAGAAAATGAACCCAGCTAAGCAAAAGAGAGACTCAACGGAGACAAAATAAATCCTGATGTAATCATTTGAGTTCCTATATCCCGTCATGCTTGAAGATAGAATACTTTGGAAAATCTCAGTTGTGTAAGCCAACAACTGTTTTTTATGCTGAAGCCAGGGTATCAGTTTGGATGTTTTTCAATGGGAGTAAAAAAACTATTGCTGCAAATAATTTAAATAATAGATACAACCTATTGACTCATTTACTTTAAAAGTATAAAGGTAGGAAGAGTTTTAGATTTGTTTCATTTTGGTGGTCAGTGGTGTCAAAACCCACTTTCTGTTGATGTATCTTATCTCTTTTCCATAATAACAGGTTCATACAAACACTCTCTTCCTTAAAATAATAAGATGGACAGTGAAATTTGATTTATATGTTTTCTTGTCCAAGGCAAAAGTGATCTATATTTCTAGTAAATCTGTCAGAAAAGCATTTTTTATTTTTTAAAAAAAATTTTTTTCAACGTTTATTTATTTTTGGGACAGAGAGAGACAGAGCATGAACGGGGGAGGGGCAGAGAGAGAGGGAGACACAGAATCAGAAACAGGCTCCACGCTCTGAGCCATCAGCCCAGAGCCTGACGCGGGGCTCGAACTCACGGACCGCGAGTTCGTGACCTGGCCGAAGTCAGACGCTCAACCGACTGTGCCACCCAGGCGCCCCAGAAAAGCATTTTTTAAAAATAAAATTCCACATTTTAGTCCCATTGACCAAGTTTTGTGCAATACTTATTCTCAGACAACCCCTGTATCTAAAGGAATACCAATGCTGGTAGGCTTAGAAATAGATTTCCTAAAGCACTAACTGTGGTTTTGTGGTTTAAAAAAAAAATCTGATCTCATCCACCCAGTTGCTGGAGTGGATCAGTGTACCTTCCTTACATGGGTATACATAATGAGGTGGGAGGGAGGTGAAAGAAGTGTTGGAAAGACAGCCACAGTGCTCCTCACAACCAGGTGAATATGTCACTTACAGTTTCACTTACCTCTTTGAGAGCTGTAGATAAAATCTGGGGGGCAAACTGGACACCCACACTTGCTCTATATCTTTATTCTCCTTGCTCTGACCAAAAGCTTCAGGCAACTCAGATAAACTTAAATGGGATAAAGGGGGATGATTGTATATAGAAAGAAGCTTTCTGGATAGTGGACTGGAAGCCAAATAGGATAGGAAAAGTTTTTGGAATCTGAAAGCTGAGGTCAATCCTTGGATCTATTCTCTACCCTGTCCCTTGGCCAGCTAGAGTCCGATAGATCTTGAAGCTTCATTAGGGTTTCAGGCAGTCTCGATCTTAGTAAGGTTTGAACATCCCTCTTTAGTAGGGAGGGATATTAGCTTCACCCTTAATCATCATCTACAATCCTGCTTCTGTGATGTGCAGTGTTCATCGGAGACCATATCGTACCAGTTAACCTTAATCCCTGAACAGAATAGGCTGGAACAAGAATACTTTATCCAGCTAATAAGTATTGGAACTAAGGGACCACATTCTATGTCGTTAGAAACCAGATTTGTAAGTTACACCAAGTAGAGATGCTGAGGAGCTAAAGTCATGGTACAGCAGAAATTACAAACTTGGTGGAAGAAATTTATCTATCAAGAAAACAATAAAGAAGAGACCATAGAAAAGTAAGGAGAAGGGATCTTGTTATCTTGGAAGAAAAGTTGGAGAAAGGGGCTGTCCAATGATTTTCTCCTTCCTACAAAATAGAATTGTACTGAGGTCTCTAAATTCTTAAAATACATCTACCCCTACTCTTTACATGTTTGCTAAAGCTCTTCAGCTAAACTGGATGACATTTTCTTTTAATGATGAATAATCTTAATTTAGACAAACCTCCTCATGAAAAATTCCAAAAGTAAATATATAGAAGATTGATGCCTCCTGGGGACAGCTCTCTGACAATCTTAAAGAAAAAAATAACACTGACAGAATTATAAAAGCCTTATCTGGGAAGAAAGTTGGAAAGCCATATAACTGATGGTCTGAAATGAAAACAAAAACTAGTAGTTACTTTGCTTACAACATTTCATATGACCTTATCTTACCCTTGTAACAACCATATGACATATATATTATTATCTGTTTTTTTACAGATGAAAAACTAGATTCAAGAAGCTTAAGAACTTGCACGGAGGAAAGTGGTGAAGTAAAAGTTTCCTCCATAACATAGGGGGAGCCCGAGTCTGTACATTTTCTCTTTCTCTTTCTGCCTTTCAGAATAAAGACCAGGAATCTTCCTAAGTATCTTTGATTTTGCCATTTTATTATTCACACAAAAAGTATGAAGCATTCCAGGCAGAGGCAAAAGTAAGTGCAAAGGCATGTCTGTGTGTGATGGCCGAGCATTTGAGAAAACTATAAAATTCGATTTCTAGAATAAATGGTACCAAAAAAGTGTAGTTGCCGATGAAGCCAGAGAGGTGGGGAGGAGGTTTAGTTCATGGGTTCCTTTCATGGGGTTCTAATCTTCTTAGATTTGTCTGTAGATGATATAAATCCGCTCAAAGGTTTTAGAAAGGAGAGTTCTGGAAATCACCATTAAAAGCACGTGTGTGTGTGTGTGTGTGTGTGAGCTATAAACTCACATTAAACAACCATACATACATCTGGAGAGACAAACAAAACAGCGCCTTGGAATTTTGAGGTAAGACAAAAGAAGCTAAAATGATGCAATTCTATTTCTATGTACTGAACTTTATTTCCATACATACAGATTTGGGAGCAGAGGCTCATACACGTGTGATAACACTGCAATCTTCACAAGTGACTCCAGGCCTTTTTTGGATAAATTTTTTGTATAATTCCAATAAATTTCCCAGCAAGTTGACAAACCAAAATTGCTTAGAGAACAAGCGTCCACTTGATGAATACATGTGAAAATATCTTGCTCCCAAGACCCAGGTAACTTGGGTATTCAATTCCCATTTAACCTGCAAGCTGACTCCTTGGGCTCTGCCTCTCTAGACACTTGCCAGTATGTAGATGGATGGCATTGGTTTCAGATGGGGAAATCCAGTAATGCTGTCCTGAACTCTGCAAACAAGGGCAGACATTTGTAAGAGGTGTAGTCCTCCAGGAAAACATGCACCTCTTTATCCTGTCTGGGGTGCTCTCCTTTTTTATTCTGTCCAGAGAGTTCTTTAAAGCAATTTTATATGTATCAGGGAATGTGGTAAATATACCCATGTCTAAATCTTCTGTGACTCTCTGCAACTGAAAAAGCAGAACGTTTCCTAGGTTTGGTTACAGAGCAGATTGTCATTTGGCTAGAAGGTGTCAGCTGTCTGCGGGAGAGCTATTGATATGCTTTCAGGACAATTGGTCAGGGCGGTATGTAGGCTCTTTAAGAAGATCTCATTCCAATAAAAAACTGCGAAATAGATGACACATCTTTGAACACCTCCTGATTTCTTTTCACTCCTCCATACCCTCCCCTCCCCCTCGTGTTTTTATTCTCTTACATAACTGAAGGGTGCTTGCCCTCGCGCTATCATCTAATCAAAATCAACCAGTTTTTAAGCAGCAGTTATGCACAAAACTGCTCTAGTTACTGTGGTAAAATAAGGTCATTTCCCTTAAAGAGCTGTTAGTTTAGATGAGGAGACAAGACATATAGGAAAGAAAAGTATAACAACAACAGGAGGTTTAATAATACTGTCAGGTAGCTGTGTGGCAGCTGGGCTCTTGCCCAAAGTCTGGATGATGTCCAGTGAGAAAGGACAATGTAAAACAATCAAAATTTATAGCTAGGATTATATAGCCTAATCCCTCTGTTGCCAACATGGAAACAGAAGATTCAGAAATGACCCCAAGGTATTGGGTTTGGATGAGAGACAATTATTGCATTCTTTACAAAGAGGAAGTAAACAAAGGAGGTATTTTTGACTGGAAAATGAATTTCTAATAAAACTCCTCAAACAGTGTTTCTCACTCATCTACTCAAAAAATTCCCATGACTTCTGCTGCCTGCTTATTGCATTTAGGGATAAACTGTTACCTGTATCAGCTGTCATGCTAAAGAGTGGAGACACAAGATTTCATAAATCATTTTCTGCCCTTGAAGTCAGTGTAAGTAGAGGAAGTCCATGAGAGTGGATGAGCTCCTTGAGGAAAAAACACTACGGATCAAGCAAATGTGAATTATCAGGAAGCAAACACAGCAGCCTTCTGGAACAGCATCAGAGGAGAAAACTCACTGAAATGAGAGTAGAAACAGGTGTGCAGGGCTCTGGGGCTTCTTGCATTCTGTGGCAGCACACAGAAGTCTGAACAGGCTGGGCAGTAGACTCCTGGAGAGGGACCCTGGCTGTTGGTTGTGGGTGCTTCTAAGCTCCTTGACTGGGGAGATGCCAGCATTTCTGTGGCATGATCAGGGACTGAGGTCCAAACACAGTGTGATATGGTGGAACCTTGGCTCCAAGCCTAATCTAGCATCTGAGCACTCATTGGCTGAGGAAATACCTGGGCTCCCTCCCTCTGGGGTGATCACAAAACAGAGGTCTGAGTCTTGAGGATACAGTTGTAAGTCTAGTAGAATTCTGTTCCATCACTCCAATATTTGTGTTTGTGGGGATTTTAACCGCTCCACTGGTATTACTAGGGACAGAAGTTCAAGCCAGTGAGCATGTATATGGTTCTAACTATGCACCTTGGGGGAGTCGTTGCCCTGAACTTACCTCGCAGGCCTCTTCCAGGATTGATTGCCCTTAAGTATTCAGTGTCTCCAGTTTCTATGAAGCTTGCAGCCACCAGTGTAGAGAGAATCTATCTTGTAAAAGTTAACCCTAATCTTCAAATGTCAAACGGACAGATATCTGATTCGGGAAATGCTTAGTTTAGGGGTCAGGAGAAGGCAAAACTACTCAAAGAGACAGAAAGATGATCCAGAGAAGTAGAAGGAGAATGGCCATATTGAGAGCCATGGAGGCAAAAAGAGATTAATGTCAAGTAAAGAGGAATATTTAAAATGCTAAGTGCTACCAAGCTGGTAGAGAAAATGAAATATAAATGAAAGATGTAAGACTTAGAAAGGAGGATATTAGTGGCTATATTTCAGTAGATTTGTACAATCAGAAACCAGATTAAAAGTTGTTAAGGGGTACCTGGGTGGCTCAGTTGGTTTAATCGAACTCTTGATTTTGATTTTGGCTCAGGGCATGATCTCATGGTTTGTGAGATCAAGCCCTGCGTCAGGCTGTGCACTGACAGTGTGGAGCTTGCTTGGGATTCTCTCTCTCTCACTCTCTGTCTCTCTCTCTCTCTCTCTCTCTCTCTCAAAATAAATAAACAAACAAAAGTTATAAAGGGGCACCTGGGTGATTCAGTCATTAAGTGTGGGACTTCAGCTCAGGTCATGATCTCCTGGTTTGCAAGATCCAGGTCTCTGCTGCCAGCACAGACCCCACTTCAGATCCACTGTCCCCCTCTCTCTGCCCCTCCCCTCCTCTCTCTCTCTTTTTCTCAAAAATAAACATTAAAAAAAGTAAAAGTTGGTAAGAAATGAAGGTGTGATTAGAAAGGTAGAAAAAGGCAGAGGGATGAGAGTGCAATAGCTTGAGATATGAAGAGGTTGCAAGCAAAGATTCTTTTTTTTTTTTTCTAACACAAACAAACCCTGAGTATATGAAAGGAGCTTCTGAGGACGGAGAAAGGTAAGAGGGTTGGAAAGAATTTGTGTTCTCTGCCAAATGAGTTCTAGTTCTTATGAGTTAGTTTCTGTTGATGTTCTAGGATATCAATGATGACCTATATTGGGTGATCGTTTTTATTTGATGAAGGCTACTTTTATGATTCTGTCCTCTAATTTGTGGGAATATCCCTAATGGTGGCTTCTCAGTCATCAAGTGAAGCTGAGAGCTGCATTCTGGCTAAGCTACTTTTTAATCACCATTCACATTTCAGCTTTCTCTTCTTATATACCAGACAGCTCTATTTTTTCCAAAACAACACTTTCGTGCATCTTTCCTTCTCCCCAAAAGCATCAGTCAGAACAATTGTGGCCAGAATCAGTGCTGAATAAACCAAGCAGGGATTTCCCTCTCTTCCCAGAAAATTATATATCTAACTTCTATTAGTTACAAAAGGAAGAACTAGGGAAAAAAATCAATTCACTTTTTTTTTCTTGCTAAAGGATCAGCACAATCCAAATAAATGCATTTTATCTTAGTAAGACATTTTGAAGTATAATATTCGGGTACCAAATGAGGAAATTGAAGTACAGAAAATTTAAGAACATTTTCAAGATCACAAGAAAGCTGAATGACTATAACAGTGCTAAATAGCCAGATGTTGCTGATTTTTTTTCTTTTTTACAATTCTAAACTTCTCTGTTGATACCATGTGGCTGAAAATGGCTCGTTTTCAAAATGCAAATCATCTTATCCCAATATTTGGGCATGCAATCTTTGGTGGATTTTTTCTATTATGTATATTTCTATTTTTAGACTCAATAACCATCTTTAAGATATGTCTAGGCAATACCCAAACAACTAGTCAGCCCAGGTAATCGAGTGCCAGTGACATCAAAATAATAGCCTGGTATCATGTAGAGACTTTAACCAGTTGAATGACTGTTTTTCCTTTCCTTTATTTTTCAACTCATCATTCAGAAACACATGTACACCCTAAAAGATCATTTCACACATAGGATAATTGTTTAATTTCATCATACTGAGCAGGGAGGGCTAAGGCTGTTTCCTGCTTCCTGATTCAGATAGTTACACCTTTAGGAAGTTTCTCAGCACATGCTGAGGCTATAGATCTTTATTAGTTTATATCTAGGACTAGGGGATATTAACTAGAGCCTGTAATAACTGCATTCAGAGAACAAGCATATGGTCTTATTCACACTATCACTTTTTTCTCAAGATTGAAAGATGCTGTGTTTTTTAAAATACATGACCAACTCATCTCATGGTGGTCTGCCTGCCAGTTTGAAGGTGACAGGTTCCTCACACACTAAAGTTAGAACTCATGAATACATTGTTGGACATTCCTTTGGAGGTAGAGATGAGGGTGCTGGGACCAGATGGGCCTTTATTCATCATGAAACACAGGACTGGGAAAACCATCCACTCTCTCTCCCATCCTATGGTTCTCATGAGCTTTTCCCTAACATTAAACTAAGTGCTAAAAATAAAGAAGTGCTGTCCTTAAAAGCCCATTTGATGCAGTTTTTTTTTCTTTTATAAACATGTTTATGCTGCAAGGAGAATTATGATTTGAAAAATTCAAAC